GCAAAAATGTGGATGGAACTATAGGGTATTATGCTAAGGGGAAATAAGTCAATCAGAGAAAGACAATTATCATATAATATTATTCATATGTCAAATATCAGAAACAAAACAGGAAAAATGAAATAAGATGAAATCAGAGAGGAAGACAATCCATAAAAGTCTCTTAACTGTAGGAAACAAGCTGAGAGTTGTTGGAGGGGAGGTGGGTGGGGGAATGGGTTAACTGGGTGATGGGCATTAAAGAGGGCACTTGAGGTAATGAGCCCTGGGTGTTATATGCAACTGTTGATTCACAAAATTCTACCCCTGAAGCTAATAATACAGTATATGTTAACTAGATTGCATTTAATTTTTAAAAAATAAAAATAGGGATACCTACGTTGCTCCATTTTAATATTCATTTCAATTTCCTTGAATCTTTGGGATTCTCCATTTAACGAGTAATATCATCTTCCTGGGTACTTCATTAGTAATCAATTAAATAAAATCCTCAAGGCATAATCATATTATACTTATTTGAGAGTTATGATTGAAAAGTAATTCTGTAGGACATGTGATTGTGATGAATATTTAGTATGCCGCTGCTGGCAAAAGCCCACTGGTAGTTCTTGAGACAACTTTATGTCTATAAGTATTTTTAAAATCATAGTCTCCTCACTCATAGTGGATAAGAATTCTCATCTATAAGATACTAATGATGACCTTAATTGTCATGATATAATCAGATACCTATGTTTCAAAAGCATGCAGAAATGAATAGGGAAAATTAGAGCTCTTATCTACTTCCTCTTGCATTTTTTGTCATATGCTCTAAATCCCACCCAAATTCTCCCATCAGATGAGGAAAATGGACATTAAGCTGCCATGAGGCAATTTTTACCTCATGAGAGGATTATGTGCTTGGCTATCCCTCTTATAGAACACACACCCTGGGGGACTTTTCTCTGCCTCCAGCCTCTCCCACAAGACAAGTCTTGCTCCTATTTGCTTCAGGGATGGGAGTTAAGCTATGTCTGCAATTCTTCTGTGCTCCCCAATGTGCTGGCCTGACTGATTTTTCTTGCAGAAGGGAAATGGTTTGAGCTCTGTATTGAGATTTCAGGAAAATGCATTGTCTGTATTCATTTCTCATTGCTGTGTAATAAATCAACACAAATTTAGTGGCTTAAGACAACTCCAGAGGGTATTTGTCTAAAACGAATCTTAATGGAGTTATAATGAAGGTGTCAGCAAGATTGGTTACTTCTGGAGGCTCCAAAAGGCAATCTATTTCTCTGTCTTTTCCAGCTTATAGCAAGTAACCGAATTCCTTAGCTTCTGGTCCTTCTTATATCTTACATGTTTCTGGATCTTCACTCCAGCCTCTGACACTTTCATTTTATTTCTTCTATATTTAGCCTTGCCTTCTTTATATAAGGTCCCCTGTGACTATATCACTACATTAATTAGTATGGCAAGGAGGATCATCTCTCCAGAAACCCTTGCTAGAATTCAAGTAGTCCTTCAAGAGACCAAGAGGTGGCTAACATAAATCAGGAATCACCTGTGGATGCAGAAGTACTCCCCTGGATGTGACTGTGACTGGGTAATCTGGCACTGGGAATTCCAATTTCATTATGGACTGTGGGATCTTAGTCATGATGAGGATGTTTCTGCGAGCGTAGGAGTTGTGGAGACCACCATGAAGAAAAAATTCTATCAACATTCAAAATATCCCAATGTGATCTGGGAACTGCCTGGAACTAGTGCCCCCAATTTCCTTCCACACATGTATCTTGAAATGGTGGGATTTGCTAACTAAGACTACTTCACAATCATTCTACCTCACAGTTTAACTTCAGTGATTACATGCTGGCCCCCAAAATCGAGAAGCTAGACAAGAAGTTTTACTCTATTAGAACCTAGGTGGACAGTGATTCATATAATGAAGAGAAAAAGCAAGCTCGGGTCATTAAAAATAGAGAGAGTTCTTCAATAGATATGAGAGAACTGCCTGGCTAATCTCAGCAACATCAGAATGCCTGAGCCAGGAACCTTAGTCTCCACCTTTGACCTGGATGACTTTGATTTCCCAAGACTGGAGGAAACCCTGCTGAAGGAGCTCCCTGTGCTATACTTTTGAGATCCTGTTGCCCAATTTGTCTGGTGTTTCCACTGAAATGAAGAGAGCTTTCTTCAAGGAAACTATCTGTCTGGATGCTCTGAAATCTTCCCTGGATCCCCTGAAGTCAGCATTGGCCTTTTTCTTCTTTATGTTGTGCTTCAGTGACTTTGATTTGCCCCAGGAGGAGAGGTCCTTGAAACTTTACCAAAGCCATTTCTCTTTGGATGCAAAATCAGTCAAAAAGATTGCTGAGAAGCTGGGCATATCTGTGGAGGAGACTGAATTTCACCAAGTAGTTGAATTTCTGCTTGCTTGTGAAGGATAACAGCATAGCAGCCAAGGCCTTGAATTCCAGTTTTTGAAAATCTACTTTCCACATTTGAAATTTAACTGCACAGGCCATTGATGTTAAAATTTTCTTGCATACGATTTTAGAGTTTTGGTTTACAACTATGCCACAGTGATGAGTTGAATTGCCTAACAGAACAACAAATGATGTTACATTTTTAAAAAGATTTTATTTATTTATTTATTTATTTATTCATGAGAGACACACACACATGCACAGAGGCAGAGACACAGGCAGAGGGAGAAGCAGGCTCCATTCGGACTCGATCCCAGGGAGCCACTGAGCCAAAAATAGGTGCTAAACTGCTGAGCCACCCAGGGATCCCCTATATGGTGTTATGTTTTGTCAGTGGTAGGGTCCTGTTCCACACTGATACTCCACTGCTATGCAAAGGAGATTTGACCATGGTCTCTCCCTGCACTCCCTGGTCTATATTGCTTAAAACGTGACAGAAATGCATCCCATACTTTTCCTATTCTCATGTATTATGAGGTAGTGTACATTTGCTTGATTTACTTAGATAATAAACATTAGGCAACAATCAAGATAATTGTTATCCATTAGCTTTTTATGAAGGATTTTCCCCAGTCATCATATCAATATCCTATCACCAAACTAAGTGAAATCCACTAGTATGGAAACATGTCCAAGTAAATAATCTATTGTGTAAGAGGACACTAACAGGGAGGTCACTATAGAAGGGAGTTGCAAGAGGAATAGGTTAATGTTCTATGATGTATTTCCAGATATTACAGGGCAACAGAGGGAAGGGAACAAAGTCAGGGTTTATGTTTCTAAGACTTTACTGACACTAAATGGGCAAGAGACCTGTGAACAGGGAACAATGAGGGGCAGGAGATATGAGAGAGTGAAGGTAAATTAGGAAGGAGACTGGAAAGCAAAGATGAATTCATTAGGCAAAATGGAAGAATAGTGTTTTTGTTTCCACATAAATTTCTACATCAGATTTGTGAAATGAGACTTGGCAAACATGAATATCTCCCTCAAGGCTCAACAACAGTTATACCTGCTGTTACTGTAATTGAGATTTTCCCACTACTTTTCTCCATCACTGGTATAGGGTGGATGCTTTATGTTGTAACAGGTGTACATGGGGATGCTGTCTCTCAGATGCTCCATTACTCTGAAAGTAAAGGGTGCAGAGATATAGAGAAGGACACTACTGGCCCACAATCCCCTGAGCATTCCTTGCTCATCCCCTGCTCAGGGGTGGTCTCCTGTAGGGCAGAATGTTGTCAGTAAGGTAGACAGTGAATGACTGTGCTACCTCATGTATAACAGATGTTTGAAGTATTCAAGAGAAGGAGTTCTTGACTCTCTTGTAAGGGACATTGAACTTAAATATTTTGTTTCTTAGATATTGATATGCATCCCTAGTGCTGAATTTACCCTCTCAGAGTCCTACTTATTCAGTTTCCACCCTGACTGGGTATAATGTCTTTTACTTCCTGCCCTGACCACCCAGAGTTAGTGAAGACTCCCCAGGTTTCAGGGCTCAGTCCTTGAAAGACCACCCTCAGTTCAGTCACCAGCTGCACTTGAAGCAGTTCCCAGGTCACCCGGACCTCCAACTGTCTACAAATTAGGGGGCCCTTATAACCCCCTCAGGCTTGCTAATTGATTAGAATGATTCACACGAGTCAGGAAACTTAAACTTATATTTACACATACAGTTTTATTTAAAAGAATACACATAGGGTGAGGTCTGGGAGGGAGTACACAGCATCCATGCCTCTCTCCATGGAGCCAGAGTGTGCACCCTCCTGGAATATCAATGTAAACATCAACCAAGAAGCCCACTGACCCTCGGTATTCAGAGTTTTTGATTGAGTCTTCATTGCAAAGACATGATTGATCAAATCTTTGGCTCCTTGATGGAGCTCGTCCCCACCAGCCTTCTCCCCAGAGGTCCAGCTGGCCCAAAGTCCCCATCCTCTAAACATGGTTGGTCTTCCTGGTGGCCAGCCACTGACCTGAAGCTACCTAGGATCTTACCTGGAATCACTTCATTAGCATAACAAAGTCAGCTCCTTTCACTCAGGAAATTCCCAGGGTTTCTGAAGCTGTGCCAGGAACCAGGGACAAGGACTAGATACACTCTTTATTAGACTTCACCCCCAGGGAGTTTGGACTGTCCAAGGTTAACAGGGGGAACATGAGAGTCGTTTTCCAGGACTCAGCCTGTGTTCTCTGATTCCAGATTCAGCTTCTGCCTGGCCTGGAGCCTGGGGCCTGGTTAGAGTGTCCTCTTGGGGGTCGCTGAGAAGCCCCCTGCCTGGGATCCTGTGCCCTCCTCTCACTCATGTTGCCAAAACACACAAAATCACTGTCCATGGTGCCTTTCAGTTTCACTTCCTGGCAATGCCTGTGTTTCTCAGAAAAGGAGTCCTCAGAACTTTCCTTTTACTTTCTGTTCCTGGAAATGCAGGGCTCTACAATGTGCTGGCTGCCTCTTTACTATTGACCAAATTCCTGTGAGGGTGGAACAGAGGCCAGAGATTATTTAAATCCTGCCAGCTCCTCAAACACAGTTTAGACATTGCAAGTGACAGCTCTTTAATCTCTGCAGAGTGACCAAACCAGCACACAGGACCTGTTCCAGTGCAAGGCCAGTCTGTGCAGAGGAGTGTTTCTGCCCTGGGCTGCAGGGAGCACTTCATCCAGGCTCTGCATTTCCTGCCCTGCCAGGGGACACATTCAGAGCTCAACCCTGACACCAGAAGTCTCTTTTCTTTCAGGAGCTGGTAAGCAAGAGGCTACTTTGGATTGTGTGGAAATGTAAAAATAGAATCATAGATCTGTAGGTCTAAGGGTGGGAGAGACTGGATGCTCCATTTTTTTTGGGGGTGCTGTGGACTTGGTAGACTGAGGGCAGGATGTCTGGTGGGTGAAGCAGTTAACTATTTGGGACATTTTCAGAGAGCAGCTTCAGAACACACTTTATTCATGAGAACTGCAGAAGGATCACGTGAATGTCAGGGCTCTCAGTGCATAGGGCCTTTTCCCTAAGAGCTTCTGGATCAGACACTTCCCATCTCTTGCCTAAATACCTTTCCCTGGGGAGATGATGCATATTAATCTGTTGAAAAACAAAATTGAAATCCATAAATTTTAATGAGCTAATCAGCTTTATTAAATGATTCATGAATTAGGCAGCATCTTATCTAGCAAATAGAAAGGAGATCCACGGGACCCCTGGGTGGCTCAGTGGCTGAGAGTCTGCCTTTGGCTCAGGGCATGATCCCAGTGTCCTGGGATCAAGTCCTACATCAGGCTTCCTGCGTGGAGCCTGCTTCTCCCTCTGCTTATGTCCCTGCTTCTCTCTCTGTGTGTGTCTTTCATGAATAAATAAATAAATAAATAAAATCTTTAAAAAAAAAAGAAAGAAAAGAAAGGAGTTCCATTGAGCTGTAGGAAAGGAAATATTTTTAAGCTAAGAGAAGTAGAGAAAAAGAAAGAAGTCATTAACAATTCCTTTGCCACTGTGAGGGCATCAGCCTTGCAGCAGAGCTTCAAGCTAACTGGAAAACACACACAAAGAACATACTGATAACCAGTGCTAGGTGACACTAGGATAAAGATGAGCTGTGGGTATACAACTGTCTCAGAAGAGGAGGTGTGAAGCCTCTAGGGCAAAAGTAATTTTTCCGGGATAATGGGCCTGACAAGTCAGACATTGCTGGTAGACTGTTTCCACAATTTTATAGAAGTCCCCCCTCCAATGTCTAGCCATAGTTTGAGTCATTTTAAATGCATATGATGGGTGAAGGAATGAAAAAACAACAACAAAAAGGAGCTTGCTAGTGAGCCAAGAAAAACAAACATTATATGGTCTCATTCATTTAGGGAATATAAAAAATAGTGAAAGGGAATAAAGGGGAAAGGAGAAAAAATAAGTGGGAAATATCAGAGAGGGAGACAGAACATGAGAGACTCCTAACTCTGGGAAACAAACAAGGGGTGGTGGAAGGGGAGGTGGAAGGGGGGTGTGGGTGACTGGGTGACGGGCACTGAGGGGGGCACTTGATGGGAGGAGCACTGCGTGTTATGCTATATGTTAGCAAATTGAACTCCAATAAAAAGTGGGATTTATAAAACAAAAAAAAAAAAAAAAGAAAAACAAAGCAGCTGTTTTGGGTTTCCCAAAAAGCCCTGACTGTTCAACTTACAGCCATTGTTTATCTATCTTATTTTCTCTGGTTCAGAAGCAGAGTGTTGCCATGATAGCCTGACATCAGAATGGCAAAAATCTCTGAGGCAATGAGGGACATTTTTGCAGCAGCAGAATGGATTTTGTCCACATGTGCCACAGTCTTTATAGATTCTTTTGGGGGCTGCCTTTGCATAAAAGTCAGCTGGGGCATTTTCCTGGTAGTCTGAAGTAGGTCTTTGAGTGTGAGCCTCAGTTTTGATGACAGCAATTGCAGAAGGTAGGAGAGTAATTACAAGTGATAACATTATACTAGGACATATCAAATTTCCAGGAATTTTACATAATTTCTAGAACACTTATATACCTATACAAATACAACATAAAACACTGGATTTTTTTTTTCTAGAAAGATCCCCACTTACTACCAAAAGTAGATTAAATGCTAAAAACAAAGAAAATTTGTCCTTTTTAATAAATAGGAAACCAAATGCTAATTTTGCACCAGCTTACCTTTGTATTAAAATTTATTCATTCCAATGTCAGTCCTGACTATGTATAAACTTCTTTTCCAAAAGTTTCTTTTACACAATCTTTTTAACAAAAAAAGAAAGAAAGAAAGAAAGAAAGAGAGAGAGAGAGAGAGAAAGAGAAAGAAAGAAAGAAAGAAAGAAAGAAAGAAAGAAAGAAAGAAAGAAAGAAAGAAAGAAAGAAAGAAAGGTGCATCTGGTCCAGATACCTTAAAAAAAAAAAAAAACAAACTTTTCTTTCATTCAGAGAAGTTTCCTTTTTTAATTTTTGTAGCTACAACAAAATATATTAGAGTTCTCAACCCTTAGAAACTTTAATTTTTATTGAAAACAAAGTGGTAAGCATGAGTTAACTGTGCCTTACACCAGCATTTTTTAGATTGGCAAATTTAGAAATACACTTTGTAATTTCAACAAACGTGCTTTTTCTATAGTACAACTTTTCAATAAAGAACTCAAAAAAAGTGTACCAATGGATGTACATTTAACTTTAATTAAGACGTCAAAATTAGAGAAAACTAATTTTAGTAATCAATGTTTCATTATTTATCTTATTTGGAAATGATCTAAATATTTAGTGAATTTAACTTAAATCATTACTTACTCTAACTCAGCAAAATGTTAAGGTTTAGCTTAGATTTCAGAAAGATTTTGGAGACTATATAGAAGTTTATCCAATTTCTTTTACTTAAGTAAGCTCCATGTCTAACATGAGGCTTAACCTCATGACTGCAAGATTAAGAGTTGCATGGCCTAAGAAGTGAACCATACAAGGGCCCCTACAAGTTGACCTAAATTTTTAAAAAATTAATTTACACATTCATTCAATGTTTTTGTTCTTAACTATTATGTTTAGATTACTCATAAAATGAGTACTCATAAGTCATGAGACATCAAAGTCAATTATTCTGCCAAGGTATTTTTATTTTTTATTAAATAGTTTTTAATTTTAATGCCAGTATAGTTGATATAGACTGTTATATGAGTTTCGGGTATACAATATGGTGATTCAACAGTTCTATACATTACTCAGTGCTCCTCATAGTAAGTGTACTTTTTAATCCCCAACACCTTTTTCATCCATCCTCCACCTACTTCCCACCTGGTTACCAACAGTTTGTTCTCCATAGTTAACAGTCTGTTTCTTGATTGGTCTGTCTCTTTTTCCCCCTTTGCTCATTAGTTTTCTTTCTTTTTTTTTAATAAATTAATTTTTATTGGTGTTCAATTTACCAACATACAGAATAACACCCAGTGCTCATCCCGTCAAGTGTCCCCCTCAGTGCCCATCACCCATTCACCCCCACCCCCCGCCCTCCTCCCCTTCCACCACCCCTAGTTCGTTTCCCAGACTTAGGAGTCTTTATGTTCTGTCTCCCTTTCTGATATTTCCCACACATTTCTTCTCCCTTCCCTTATATTCCCTTTCACTATTATTCATATTCCCCAAATGAATGAGAACATACACTGTTTGTCCGTCTCCAAATGACTTACTTCACTCAGCATAATACCCTCCAGTTCCATCCACGTTGAAGCAAATGGTGGGTATTTGTCATTTCTAATGACTGAGTAATATTCCATTGTATACATAGACCACATCTTCTTTATCCATTCATCTTTCGATGGACACCGAGGCTCCTTCCACAGTTTGGCTGTTGTGGACATGGCTGCTAGAAACATCGCGGTGCAGGTGTCCCGGCGTTTCATTGCATCTGAATCTTTGGGGTAAATCCCTAACAGTGCAATTGCTGGGTCGCAGGGCAGGTCTATTTTTAACTCTTTGAGGAACCTCCACACAGTTTTCCAGAGTGGCTGCACCAGTTCACATTCCCACCAACAGTGCAGGAGGGTTCCCTTTTCTCCGCATCCTCTCCAACATTTGTGGTTTCCTGCCTTGTTAATTATCCCCATTCTCACTGGTGTGAGGTGGTTTCTCATGGTGGTTTTGATTTGTATTTCCCTGATGGCAAGTGATGCAGAGCATTTTCTCATGTGCATGTTGGCCCTGTCTATGTCTTCCTCTGAGAGATTTCTCTTCATGTCTTTTGCCCATTTCATGATTGGATTGTTTGTTTCTTTGCTGTTGAGTTTAATAAGTTCTTTATAGATTTTGGAAACTAGCCCTTTACTTGATATGTTATTTGCAAATATCTTCTCCCATTCTGCCGGTTGTCTTTGAGTTTTGTTGACTGTATCCTTTGCTGTGCAAAAGCTTCTTATCTTGATGAAGTCCCAATAGTTCATTTTTGCTTTTGTTTCTTTTGCTTTCATGGATGTATCTTGCAAGAAGTTACTGTGGCCAAGTTCAAAAAGGGTGTTGCCTGTGTTCTCCTCTAGGATTTTGATGGAATCTTGTCTCACATTTAGATCTTTCATCCATTTTGAGTTGATCTTTGTGTATGGTGCAAGAGAGGGGTCTAGTTTCATTCTTCTGCATGTGGATGTCCAATTTTCCCAGCACCATTTACTGAAGAGACTGTCTTTCTTCCAGTGGATAGTCTTTCCTCCTTTATCGAATATCAGTTGACCATAAAGTTCAGGGTCCACTTCTGGGTTCTCTATTCTGTTCCATTGATCTATGTGTCTGTTTTTGTGCCAGTACCACACTGTCTTGATGACCACAGCTTTGTAGTACAACCTGAAATCTGGCATTGTGATGCCCCCAGATATGGTTTTCTTTTTTAAAATTCCCCTGGCTTTTTAAAATTCGGGGTCTTTACTGATTCTACACAAATCTTAAAATAATTTGTTCTAACTCTCTAAAGAAAGTCCATGGTATTTTGATAGGGATTGCATTAAACGTGGAAATTGCCCTGGGTAACATTGACATTTTCACAATATTAATTCTGCCAATCCATGAGCATGGAATATTTTTCCATCTCTTTGTGTCTTCCTCAATTTCTTTCAGAAGTGTTCTATAGTTTTTAGGGTATAGATCCTTTACCTCTTTGGTTAGGTTTATTCCTAGGTATCTTATGCTTTTGGGTGCGATTGTAAATGGGATTGACTCCTTCATTTCTCTTTCTTCAGTCTCATTGTTAGTGTATAGAAATGCCACTGATTT